TGGTGATAGATTTTGTATTATTATATGATATTTTATTAGCCACTGATAAAAATACACTTAATAATTCTGATCATATCTTTCTCAAACTTTAAAATTTATTATTGCATTATTTTATTAAATATTTAACTTTACGCCAGTAACATTGACACTTTACTTCCATTTTATTCATGAGACAAAACAATGCATGTAGACTAATCTCATAATTTATCAATCGTCTGGCGAAAAAAATCACAATTTTGCAAACGCATTACATTCATTAGTGAGCTGAGAAATTAACTGTGTTAGTTACAAGATTACTTTTATTATCAAAATTGCAATAAATGCATAACGTGTGCATCTTGGAGACAACTTTTGAATTTTTTTTTTTTTTTTTTTTTGCCTTGAATTATAACAGAGACGCCTATTTCAATTTTATAAATGGTTACTCGAGATATAATTAATCCTTTCCAAGATGAATTTCTTCTATAGCTGTCAGCAAGATATTTTGTTATAGTTTTATAATTAAAATGACTTGCTGAAATTGTTTTGACTTGCTTGTTCAGCTTAAATGATAATTAAGAATGTTTCTGAATATTTCCTGTACTCCATAATCTTGAAAATGTAATTGTTATTAGCCTGGGTTTGAAAATACAATATTTTTATCATAAGATATCGTACATGTCTCAGGAAAAGATTAAGCAATGTATTGTACTTTTCCTTCTCGGAAAAAAATGCAAAGATAGAGTTCAGAATGTTAACTTTAAGAACTGTAGAATCATTTAAAAATATCATAACATTTCTACACATTTTTCTAAGAAAAAAAAAAAAAAGAAAAGAAATCCTCGTTTTGACTTTTTGTTTCCGTGGAATACTATAAAACACGCATACACTAACAGCCTGAAAGCAGCTGTGCCTTCATAAAGGTTTATAAAAACGAAATTTCCCTTTTCCGTTCGACTGCTAATAGATACTTAGTATTATGTAATAACGATATATCCAAAAGTTAATAGAATTTCCCGTTTAGAACACAAAAATAGCATTTTAAAATTAAATTAAGAAACTGTTTTGAAATTCTTAATAATGATCTAATGTCTATGCATGGAAATATCTATTTTAGTTAAATGCTCAGGGATGACGTGTTCTGAATATGAGATAAATTTTGTTGCAGTTATCTAAAAACAGCATTTTTTCCTATTCTGTAGTAAAAATTAGAGATTTATTCATAATAAATGGTTATTAGTTTTAATATAGAGTAATTTAACAATTTTTTGGTTGTGACTTATCTTACTTGTCTGCATCGAAACAAGTCACGAAAGTCACGCAAGGAGTACAAGATTGTGCCTGTCGTTGGCCCCATGCAAGTGCCAGTATGACTTTGCTCAGTCCCCCCCCCTCAATTTTGAAAGAGAGCACCCCGGAGAGACGGATCCAAGGGTCTCCCACCACTCTTCCCCTACTACCAACCTCTGCAGAAGCCCCCATACCGCACAGACACTATACATTTAGAAACATCCGGGATTCAAACCTGGACAACAGTACGACAGTCAGCGTCACTAAAGACTGTCGCGGATGGACGGCTTAACAACTGCATTACTAATTAATACTGCAGAATGATTTTTACCAATTAATTCTATAAGAAAAGATCTAAAATTTTGATGTGTAAAAATGAGTATTATATCGCTAAGCAAGTGTAGATTACATTTAAAAAGTTTTCGTTACTGAGCGTTTGCTGCAAACTAATTTTTTAAATATTGGTTATTTTAATTGAGTAGTGAACATATAAATTTTTCAGAATTAATTCCAAATTCTTATTCAGTTTAGATTGAAAGTAATCGATTCAGAATTAATTCGAAATTTCAATTCAATTTAGATTGAAATCAATAGATAAGTTACATTATCCTGCTTAAAAAGGTCGTGTTAATGATGGAGAAATCGCGCATTTGTTTTCATTACATACGGATTTGTGCAAGGTTATTGAAATGTTTCGTATGCATGTAAAACATTTGTTGACATCTTTCTAATGAAATATTTTATCTGAATGGTATCATTCCTAATTTTCCCGATTACTTTGTGTTCAGCACTTGTAATCTTAGGTCATACAAATAAATGTGGATGTTGTTTCAAATGGTCAGACACTTACAACTTAAAACATTCATTGGGAGTGGTCAATATCCCATCCATTTAGTCGCCTAACCATCGAGAGCGTTGCCTTCTAATGACGGAGGTGCAGCACAGGAAACGATCGATTTTATACCTTAGGAAAAGAAAATTGTCATCCTACTTTTAATAGAGAACATTATCAGGACAGATCCGAGTGTCTGCCTACCCTCGTCCCCAACCACTAAACCTCTCAAGAGAGCTTTCGGTTTTATTTAAAGTCTTCCCAAGTGCAGAGACACTAGTGCTAACAAGTTTTTTAGATGTATTGTAGTTTTGCTATCTATTCACATAAGTTTGCATGATGTCAAAAATGGTTATTACTATTCTGGATAAAACAGCAAAAGATATGTGTTATGGATATGGAAGAAATTTGATTATGATTTTTAAGTTGTTTGTGTAGTTGAAGAAAATGACGTAGGAACTTATGGGAGGGGAAGTGAGTGAATGCGCTGCTAAGATGGCTTCTAATGACGGAGGTGAACCAAACGGAGTTATATACCATCGCAACGAGGAAATCTACTAAGTTACGATGTTGAATATTGTGCAATAACTGTTTCTAGATTTTACAAAGTTTTTCTTGTCCAAAGTTAATTCATATTAATACACGTTCTGAGAGTACCTGAAGCAAACGTTCAGATTTACACTTCTTGCTGAAGAAAAAGAAGGCGTACTATTATATGATAAACTTGTCAATATTTAGGGGATTATTCAGCTCGATAACTGCAGACGCTAAGTTTTATCCTGATCATCTGCCATTTTGAAGTTTGAATATATAAGTGAAAAAAAAAGAAAATATGGTGGAGCAACGGAAGAAAGAGTAGAAGTATGAGGGTTATTAAATTATATTGGCGTAAGGAATTCGTAATTCAGCGATACAAGAACTGGTAACAAATAATAGAAGACTGCAGGAAGGAACGCCTTTGTCTTCCTATCCTTTTTCTACAGACATCCTGCTTACCACATGGTCACATAGAGGAAATGTGCTCCCACAATAAGACTGTAAATCTGTTGCTAAGCTGTTAGACTATTCGGGGGAATACGTTTAGTTCTACTTAATGACATTATAGGGCTTTACTTGATCAGGAATTATTAATAGAATCAGATGTGAAGCGAATTATCGAGTGTGTTTAAAGTAACTAAAAACCGTGAAAAACGTTTTAATAACCTTTTTATTAAATAGAATTTTGAACATAAATGCAGTGTTCTTGTGATACCATAAAATCAGCCACAACTCGCGGTGATGCAACTAAATTAACATATTAATAATTCAAATTTAAAACCTAAAAGAGTAGTCAAACTATACATAATTAAATTTTTATCTAAGATGGCTCAGAAATTCTAATTCGCGTATAAAATTCAAATGTAGGCAGTAATGCAAAGTGAATAATTACAAATTATCAGAGTTGCAACGAACTAAAGTAATGTGCCCACGAAAGGCAGAAACACGCTCTGTCTTAAAATCCAAAAACTCAGCTTAAATACAAGTTACCTAATTTGCATGAGAGAAAAAGGAAATCAGAAACTACTGTTAGGTTTGAAATTACAAATAACTGGTTAATTTGTATAATAACCCTATAGCATCATAGCTTTAAGCAGTGTTTATCATACTGTCAGTAATAAAATCAATATTGTTTAAAAAGGGTTTAAAGAATAATTGAAACATTTGTAACATCTTGTTTTCTTTGCTGTCATAAAATGCATTGGACGTTAAAGATTGGTTGCTGAATTAACACGAAGACCTTTAAAGTATTACAGAGTGAGGAGAAGGGTCTAAATAATCCTTTATCAACACAAATAAAGTTTCCCAGATCGCACCAACACTTTTGGCTTAAATCCAAAGGTAATGAATAACTTAAAAATTAATAAGTAAGTAAAGTATAGCCTAACACATTCACATGCTAACTATCGCGCAAGCTGGCTCTGACTCGAAAGTCGGCGTAAACAAGCCTAATGGCAAAAATAATTTAACTCCACAGAATTCGTATTGTTAGAAACTCAAAGTTAGCAACATGGACTTCAGACAGGCAGAATACGCTCTGATTTTACTTTTCAGAACCTTCCCTTGAATACTTCCTTCCGCCTAATCTGAATATCGCGCATGCTGAAAATTTGCATTTTGGAAGGGAAGTGAAATAAGAATTGAAAGGAAAGGTACTCATAATGGGTTAGAAAATTAAACGATATTTTACACATTTAAGCAAATTTTATTATTATGTTAATTAATTTTTTTCATAAATAAAACTCACTTTTAATTGTAATTAAGAACTAAGATATTTCATTTATAGCTAAAGTATTTTATTTATTTACATCATATAAAAAGTTAATGTTTCTTAATCATACACTAATCACAAATTGCTGAACCAAATGTAGTAGTATGTATAGTTAGTGCCGTTAAGGCTATCAATACATTATCTTTATGATATGCTTATAAGCATAGTATATCGCATATGCTTAATGAATTAATAAACCTGATGTTTTATCTATTATACGTAACCAATGTAGAAATAAGTTTTCTTAATGTTCAATTAAATGATTACATTGCTTTTTAATATGCATTTCTTATATACCTTATTCAAGAATTGAGCATAATACTTATATTTATCTTAGGTATTATGCTATGTATAGTCATGAGTAATGAGCATTTACGCATTCAAATGTACATGTTTGCATCACTAGTTTCGTAACGCATCGCTAAAAGAAACAAGAAAAGCCTCCGCACAAGTCGTTTCGATCTGACAGTCACGAAAAGAGGGAAGGAGAGCGAAAGAGTACGAAGAGCAATGCAGCATCATTCGTGGGATCAGCCGTTTGGTGGCGCTCTCGTCCATCCGGATCCCTCCTTCGAAAAAGGCGGTATGGAAGGCCGCATTGTTGTATCGCACGACCAAAACTCCCAGCCTGAGTTACCAGCTTTTATTTAAACAATACAAGACCGGACTCAGATTTCAGCTCTTGTTACCTGAGACTCATCAGCAATTTCAGCAAAAACTGTGTAACGATCCAACAAAATGAAGTACAGAATCCGAAGGAGGACAGAGAGCTATCGACCGTGTGCCACTCCGGTATATAACAGGGATGTGGAAGACGTGGCAGGCCGTGTTGATGCGAAAAGCATCCCGGACACACATGCGGGTAGCGGCCTCCGCTTTGAGATCATTGCATCACCTACACAAACGCTATGCTACCGTGACTGTACCAACCATAATATTTTGAGGAACTCTCGGACATGGCTTGTTTATTTCTTTCTCTCTTGCCTTCTGATTTTGGGAGTCTCTGAGGCCCACCCGGCGGCCAAGAGACTGCACGATGATTTGCTTAGTGATTACAACCGCCTCATCAGACCAGTTGGCAATCATTCACATAAAGTCACTGTACATTTGGGCCTCAAACTGTCACAGCTCATCGATATTGTAAGTACCATTTTCTGTATCGCGTAACCAAATATGATTACGCTGATATCTTTGTGTCGTTAAGAAAAGCCAAACAGCTATCAACAGCATAATATCTACTTATTTAACGATCGATTATTTTAATTCTTTTAACTGACTTAAAGCTGTATCTTTGGAGAAATTTGATACACAAATAATATATATACGGTGGCAATTAATTATTTGATTATTTTATTCTAACACTTTGCATACAAAAGGATGATATAGCTTAAAATTAAACATGAATACAATAACTGAATCGTATGTATTGCATGATACTGTGTATGTATTATAAAATAAGTTTCGTATTAAAAGGTAATCGTACAGGCATATTGAACTTCATATTTAATGAGTTAATTTTTATTTTGATAAAACATGTTTACTTAGCAGTCAAATTTTAAACATTTTTAATGATGCGCTTATAATTAAAGCATAAGTAAATATTTAAGTCAAATTTGTTCAGTTATAAGTAATATGATACAAATACGTATTTTAACATTTACCACAACTGTGTCTCATTTTGATCTTTTTAAAAGAATAAAGTGCAATCAGAAACATTTTATGTTAAAATGTTGATTTTACAGATGGTATATTAAAAAAAGAAATTCTAATTTATTATTTAAGTCTTACTTACAGAATTCGGATTGCATGAATAAGGGGAAAATAACTAAATAACTAATGTTTCGTAAAATAGAGGATATTTTAAACATCACAGTTAAGTTAAATAAAATTGCAAATTAGGTCTGCTAGTGTAAAAAAATCATTTCTGCATTTGGCTATTTTCAGTTTAATATTGCAACTGATAATTTGTAAATCCTGTAGTCTGCATTAAATATTGACTAGGTAGGTTTATTAACATGCAGTTTTAAATACCATTAGGATATTTCCAGATTTTGTAGTTATAAACTGACGAGAGTCACATTTTTGGTGATTATTAATAGATGAATTCGTATGTTCTAAATCATAAACAAATACTCTCTTTTTATTGCTAAGCATTAAATTTTTACACTTTTAAATGAATTTATTAGGCACATTTAGAGGACATTAAAAGAAAAAATTCGATTGTTCATTATATAAGCCTCGAAGATATCGCTCTGAAATTTTCCTGATTATTCTTCTTTCTTATGTATATATATATATATATATATATATATATATATATGATTTTAAAGGTGTGTGAGTGTTTAAAATATTATAGACATTAAATTTAGAATTTAGAAATTAATTCGAATGATGATATTTTCAACCTTGCGACAATTAAATGTCTAAGCGATACAATATACTTCAAATAGTTTAAACATTATTATGATACTGGTACGTGTTGTGTACTACAGGTACTACTATTAACTATGTGTTTTATATTTTACATTACATTCTTTATAATTATAAATTTCACTTGTAGAAACAAGAATACATTTATAATTGGGAATTGGGAGGTAATGTAAACGCGTTTTAGATTGTAGCTGTCTGATTTGGGGCCACCCGGGACACTGATTTTTTCGAAAATTTAGTAACCCTACAAAATGGTTCCGGATTCTTCAAAAAGATAATATATATATATTTTTTTTTAATTTCAAATTTTTTTGTTCGTATGTTTTACCGTTTTTGGTGCTAAGAGAGGCAGTGGAGAATTTTCTTTCCCCTCCCCTTTTCCTTTTTTTTTAATTCAATGTTCAATTTTTTTTCTGCAAAATAGAGGTATAAACACTAAAAAGGTATTAATCCTGATTACGTATTTTTTTACTTAGTTAGGATTCATACGAAGGCAGAGGCGATCTTCAAAGAATAAAAATATTTACTTGAAGTAAGTTTGAACGCGATTGCCAGTGAATACCAACCAGAAAATATAAAAAATCAAATTTCGCCGCCAAAAGCCCCAACAGATTATTTGCAGTATATCGCCGGTTACCAAATAATAAAAATATGCAGAATTTTATTAGCAGTAGTTTTGGAAACGATGCTTTAAAATTATAGCTCATTATTATTGCTTCGTTTATAATGATTTCTTTTGGCTTATTTTCAGTTAGAAGTATACAGATGTCTTTAGTGAATATTGGCCATATTTGGGAAATATTGGTGAAAACCGTTTTCATACAGTATTAAAATAATCCTTCATATTTTGCTAATAATTGCATTTATAACTGTTGCCAAATAAATGGTTTGTTAAAACTAGGCAAACTTGTACCTCCAAGTAAAAACTAAACTTTGTATGATTATTTTGCAACGTTTTCTTTATTCCTTAGTAAGTATGCAAAGCAGGTGCTACAACCTCTTTATAATGACGTATTTGACCTATCTTTATTAAGGTAGGTCAAAAAAGTAATTATAAAAATGCTACCAAAAGGGTGTTTACTTTGATTTACAATCTTAAAATAAAAGGAAAGTTTCTTTAACTTACAGTTTCTTCAACACTATAGTGTGATATTAAAAAAACTCAAGTGCCATTCGATATGTTCATGTAGCTTTTAATTTTTTACTCATTTAACCATTTTCTTGTGATTTGAAACTATACTGTCTATTCTTAATTTCGTTAACTCTCACCGGAATTAAATTAGATGCGAGTATTTAAGCAAGAATTCTCTAATGTTTAGACAAAAAACATTTTTGACAATTACGCTCACCGTACTTTTCTCTCCCAAGCGTTTGCAAATTTGTTATCCATCATTAGCCATCTTGCTAGCCGAAATAAATTGTGCAAGTAGTAATGAGGCAACGCTTATTAAACTGTTTGCTTTATAGTTTCTTGCATAAGCTTAATTTAAATTTTAAATTCACATTTTTCTTACTGATATTTCGCAAGCTACGAAGATTTAAACTGTAAACACAAGTCGTGCATACTATTAATTCTAAAGTTTTAATTAAAAAGTAATTAATTTCACAAAGGGGGGCAAAATCTCATCTCACTGTTTTAATCGTGCATAAGAATTTTAGTTAGTTCTACAGAGTAACCGTACAAATTTGAAATCAAGCTTATTACATGAAATTCAGTTCTTCTGATTGACCAGCAGAAGTTATAATTCAAACTCTTAATATTTCACTGTGATCGGCATTAAACAAAATCCATAAAGGCAAATACATGAGTAAATTAAAACGCATTCTTCTTAGTAATGTACTAAAAGTTTAGTTTTAAAGCAAAATATTTTCACAATGAAGTCCTTTATTAAACAAATTCGAAGTTATATTATTTTAGAAAGAAAAAACAGTTGTCTTCTCAAATTTTTATTTTGCATTGAAGTTATTACCTGACTCCGGATGAAAAATATAAGCGAAGATAAGAATGTATTGTTTTGATTTCCTCTACTCCAAATAATTTAAAATTTTTTTCGTCCCGAGGTTAACTAAAGGAAATATATTTTAATTATTGTATATCAATAAATGAATTTTGAAAGAAAAAAGATCCGAAAAGTTTCAGATTTGAGCGGCGGCCCAGAAGCATTTGTTAAGGCTTTTTATGCTCTCGCGAGTTAGCAATTTGCCAGTCTGCTATTGCACTCACTATTACTAACTATTTGTTTTTCTCTTTGTAGTTTTATTATTAAGCATTGCTACAATATATACAAATCAAAAACAAAATCATAAAAGTTTTAAAAGCAGCGTAGCAGCATATGTTTCCAAAACAGAGTTAATTGTTGGCACTACATTTAAAAAAAATGTCCAGTCTTTTCTCGGTTCAGTGATGGCATAACATTTTAAAATTTTTTTCAGTTTTTTCTCGGTTCATCATATCAATAATCAGTTATTTTATTACGATCGCTTGCAATTTTTTTTTTTTTGTTTTTTTGTTATTCAGGTTTTGTATGTATTTATTTTGTATGTATTTATTAAATATCGTGTTCTTCGTACTTAAGCCACATAAATTTCAATACAAGGGTAAAATCACAAAATATTAAAGAGAGCATATCATTAGAATTTCCAATAGACAGTTTCGCAAGCTAGAGATAAAGAAGTTTTATTCCAAACAATATTGTCACAGCTCTTTTTCATATCATTGATTTTTGTTAATCAAAAATTCATTAATGTTTTATAAAATATGAAATAATTAATAATAGAAAAGAGCTGAACGTTTAAGATTTTAAAGGACGCCTAAAAGGGTTCGTTTAGGTTTTTTATAATTTCTCGCTGAGCTTGCAGTCTAATAGTCTAATATCACACTCAATCCCACTAACGCTTTATTTTTGTCTTTTAACTTTATTGTTCAGTATCATTTTCCTTACTCTTACGCCATATAAAATTCAATAGCAAAATTACAAAAATTTTAAAAGCAGCATAGCAGTATAAGTTCAGAATTGCTGATGAAGCGTTAAATGTTGGCATACATTTTTCTGTTTCGTCCAGTCTTTTCTCAGTTCATTATATCAATGGTAAGTTTTCTTACTAAGATGGCTTTACAAAACTTTTTTATTATTATTAACGCCTTGTGCGTTTATTTTATTTAATAAACATCACTTTCTTGTAGCTTATGCCAACAGCAAAATCAAAAAATACACTCCTGCTTCAAAAATAAACAACAAAGGCAAAACACGGAATAAATCAAAACAATATTATACATATGCACGAAATTGATCCAAGTGGTTGCTGTGGTATTACTAGACCACATAGCAAACAATAAAGCAGAGATATATAAAAACACATGTATTACGACCATCACATCGCGAAAGACCACAATGGGTCTAAAGAAAGTGCAATGGAAACATCACGTTAATTCTCTACTGAAATTCATGTTTGACAACAGCGAGGCAAGCGGGCAGTGTTTTCGATGATGGCTTGTTGCGGCAGTGCCGGCCATTCTTCTAGTAATGTATGTTGGAGTTCGTGGAGGGTGCCTGGTGGCCCAATGCGACCTACTATCCTTTGTCCCAACATGTTCCACATATACTCTATAGGATTCAAGTCCTGCGATTATATGAGCGGACATGATCATCGATAAATATTGCGTCGGTATCCATTGCAGCGATAAAAGGACGTATAAGAAAGTGTCGAAT